GCTGAACCGTATGCAATTGCGTGCTGAGCTTTCGAAATCTAGTGATAGCAGAAACACCATCAATGTACATGTGCCCCCAACCAGAAGTGATGTGCTCCACCCTTGTGATGTTATGGAGGTACTCCGTCATATGCAAATGTTGGTTCCATTGCGGTTATTCTGCATCACGTTTTTAATTGCTTGGTTGGTTGTTTGGTTTGTTTTTTATTTTGAAGGATGTCGCCATTGCTTATGGATATAATAACATCCCCAGAAGAAAGCCTACTTCGATAAATCCATTGCCTTTGAATGAGATCAGTGATCTTATTAGGGCAGAGGTACTTTAGGTTCCATATGGTTTTGTATTTCTTCAATTCCGCATATTTTTTTTGTTGTAGGTACTTTTGGTTATGAATTCAATTATTTGTTATTTTAGATTGCTATGAACGGGTACACCGAGGTGTTGATGTGGATTTTGTGCTCCCACAAAGAAAATTTTGCAATGCTAAACAGAAAAGATGATGGCTCCGCTGTTATCATTGGAAACCCTCGTTCTGCTGATTTTGAGGTAAATGTCGGAATATATTTCCAAATGATTTGAGTGCTTGTACTCTACTATGTGTGGAATCGTAGCATGAGTAGTTAGTTAGTTGCTCCATTCTTTTATGGAAGTGCTTTGGATGTTGACTCTTGTCTTTCTGGTTGTATAAGGTTGTCCGAACGAGTCTCATGCCAGGAATTCTTAAGACAGTTGGAATCAACAAAGACCATCCAAAACCTATTAAGGTACCCGTCGTCATCATCATCCTCGTTATCTTTACAAAGTCAAGTTTTGTCTAAATTTATGATCAAAATGTTGTTGCAAGATTTTCGAAGTAGGAGATATCGCCTTGTTGGACGAGAAAAAGGATGTGGGTGCATCCAACCGCCGTCGTCTTGCTGCTTTACATTGCGGTGCTACTTCTGGTTTTGAGGTATCATTCAAATTTATATGGAGTCTGCCGTATAATTGATGTCGTTGGAAATTTTGGAAGGTGTAACTCAAAACCGAAATGAGTGGAAACAATTCATGCGGCTGCTTGTCAAAAAACTCTTCGTCTTTTTTTTTGTGTGCAGCTTATACATTGCCTAGTAGACAGAATCATGGAAGTAATGGCGACCCCGTTTGTGCCCGTCGGAGATAACACGGGATACTACATAAAACGCTCACAAGTGAGTTCCTTCACCATCCATATGCGTGTGTGTTTTTAGATGTCTCGTAACCAAATTTATCTTTCGTCTCTGCCAAAAATAAAAAAGGAACCCGAGTATTTGCCTGGAAGGCAAGCGAGCATCGTTTTCAAAGGGAAACACATTGGCAACTTTGGAATCGTTCACCCCGAGGTATTATTATTCTTTTTATAATTCGGAAATTCATCGGAATTTTAATCCAACTTCGTATAAGAAGATCGGGACGTAGATGCGAATGTCTCCTCCCACGCGAGCTTGTGTTTACGTGTCTATCATTAATCAATGATCGTATATGTAATCGCGTGTTTGGAGCAGGTATTGACCAATTTTGATATCTCCGATCCGTGTTCGTTCGTGGAGATCGACATCGAGAGCCTCCTCCTCCCATAAGAGACGCACAAACTTCTCCTCTTGGAACCATATTTTGATATTCCTTATTTACTATTTATTTTTGTTGTTGTAGTAATATACTAAATTCGTCTATTCGATCGTTTTAAATTCAATAAATTGATGTGATGGCTGGGCAAAAAATATTCGATAACCGCTGACAGGATTTTCGTGAAGGCTCGAATTTGGTTACAGAGTTGTAATTTCTATTACTTTTCTATGTATTAATATCTATAAAGTGTGATCGGCAGCGTAATGAAATCGACTGTTACACGCCAAAAAAAAAAACATATGAAAAGTGAAGTCTATCTGGGTGTCTAGGGTAATTATATTGTCTTCATGGTCCCACCTCCACACGATTTTTTTTTTACAAGCAGTGGATCCCATACTCATCATAGAATCCGACACGAAGTTTGGTCTCTCTGTGGTCGTGGATGGGGTCCACCTCCTCTGCACACGTGGGATGACTGAAAGTTAGAAATATAGTTCTGACAAGCATGACGTGGCGGTTTCTTGGAACATATAGTCTTTGTATGGGAAATTGATTTTCTGTTCCTTTTGAAACCTATCTTCAGGCCATTATATATATATATATATATCGAATTGACATCACCCATGTATACAAAAGCATCATATCTCATAATATATATGAGATAAATGGGACATTCATCCGGACTTCCACGTTTCTAGTTGGATCATAATTTCGGTAAATTTTCGTATTATAAAAAAATAAAATTTATATTTCTCTAATTTTTTCCATATATATATGCTTTGAGATCCATTTATTTTACTTTATACCTTTTTCATTGGATGATTATGTATTCAAATACCCTTTGCAACTTAAGATACGGATAGATTTGTAATCAATTATCAAATGGAATAATCTTTTAGTCGTCATTGTACCGTGTCAAGTTTATCAGTGTGTAATTCATGAATAATGTTAATATCACAAGTTATCAAAGAAGAGAAAAAAGATCATTGAAGTTTATTTGAATGAAATATCTAGGCTAAATTCGATAATTGTTGTATAGGAATCTCGGTATGCACGTAACGAAACAAATCCTTTTAATAACAAAACCGGTAAATCCATATATTTCTTTGCTTATATAATACATTAAAATGATATAACGATCTTAAACTACTCATAGGATTCTTTTTATAAGATGAGATGTGGCTTTTGTACATTTTTTTTGACCATTTAGTTGTTAGATTACATAGTTTCAGATTAATTAATTAATTGTGTTGTTGTTAATAATTTCATTCTATTCGATGTAATAGAATTTCATTCTATATGAATAAAACCTCAAATTTTGAGAACGGTCCTATACTTCAAGAATCAAATCTCCGACAACAACAGATCACATTCTATTTTCCGATGGTGGATTCTATTGTGAGAATATCATGATTTTAATTAAGATTTGTGCTTGGGAACATAGATATTTGTTTCATATAATTAGTAAATATATAATAACCTCATGAGTGTATCTTTCCAAAAAATAAAAAATCTTATTGTACACTTTAGGTTACATTTCTCTTTAATCGGCATATAATTAATCTCCGAATTTCATAGATTCGTTGGTGGGCACACTGCATAATGCGTCAAAATGATTTTAACAGCTTATAATTCCTTGATAATCTACGAAACCGTAACTCAAAGCCAAAAGTTGAATGCATGCAAAATGATCAAAACCCTAATTAAGACACCTCTTTTCGTGAAGTTTCTCGTTCAAAAACATTGAAGCAGTACACTTAGGAGCATAATCTAAACCTAAAATGATCATATTGATCACTCTTCACTATATATATATATGTATGTATTTACAGATCGGACAACAAAAAACGAAACGGTTTAAGAATTTTGCCCTAATAATCTCACCCTTAAACAAAACGCACACACACATGCACATATATACATATATATATATATGTTAGTAGATATTTGATCAATCACGCCAACAAAGGAGCATGACCACACATCTTCTAATGATGTAAATCCGTCCCTTTTGTTCTCTGAGATACTTCCCAAGTCTTCTGCTGTTTGATTTCTTCTCCTCCGAGCTTCTGATTCTCTCCATGTCTTCCTACACTCTTAGAGAGAGAGAGAGAGAGAGAGAGAGTTTATGTGAAGAGAGTCTTTGAGCAAGATCTTGCGGTCTTCTCTCCACTGCTTAGAAGAAGTAAAAGGCAAACGCTTCTTTGAGAGCGAGAGAGAGAGAGAGAGAGAGAGAGAGAGAGAGAGAGAGATTGGAACTGTTAGGGGAGAAAGATCAGTGGGGAGGGGGGTATATATAGGGAGGATTTTGTGGTCTGAATCATAGTTTAGTATCTTTCAATAGAATAAAAAAAAATCTAATTGCCCTCTCGAAGCCATTAAAAGGATATATTAAAATGATGGACATAACAATCTTCGAAGAAATGCTCTCATTTATGGTTAGGATGTGAATCCACCAACCAAAGATACATTTGTCGGCTATTTTGTTGTATAACTTATTTCTTTAAAATGAATGATGATGATGATGATGATGATAATAATAATATAATAGAAGCCTTCTCTATACATTTTTAGCTGATTCCATATCGTAGGACCTGACTATATATATTTTTCAATATATTGCACACCTATGTAAAACAGTTACATTAATTATGACAATATATATTTCTTAGAGAGGGTGCAAAAGATCCTCCTGGATCCTGATATCCTTTTTGTTTCATGGCACAAGATGGTCCAACCCATATATATATATATATATATATATATATATATTGTTGATATATTTATTTAAAAATATCACATATATTGGCTGACTCCAATGGAAATATCTTTAACTTGTGTTGTCTCCGAAGTTCATATGTCCCCTCATTTTCCATGAAAAAACAAATAATTTTGGAAAATAAACTAAGTCGTAAATTTGAATATATAAAGATAAAGTAAGAGGAAGAAGAAGGCATGTGGAGCACACCGCACGTGATATACGCGTGACTGTCATGGTCACTGACTCACTGTTTGGCATAACGCAGACAAAGACAAACTTGTTTTTACTTTTGCCTTTTGCCATATTAATTATTGATTAGTATCAATGAATTTAAATTCAACACCTTAACCCGTATCTTGGTCTTTGATTATTCGAAGATTATGTCCGTAAAATTAAAGAAATTGTACGGTTCATCGTATGCCAGAATCTTTTCAGCTTTTAAATTTGGTTCACTAATGATTGTTTACTTGGAAGTATAAAATTAGGGTTTTAGAGCATCAGCTTAGAAATGGGTTTCGAACCGATCCGAAAATTCGATATAATCTAAAAAAAATTAAAAAAAATGTTAACAATGAAAAACTTGAGCAGATTCGTCTGGTCGGATCTAATCTGTGGTCAGACCACTTCGAGCCTGAACTCGAGTTCTATAGAGGATTTTGGACTTGATTGTATAGAGTTTAAAAAATTCGGGACGGTCCAAATCTGAATCCGAATCCGAAACCTTCGAAACGAGTGCAAATTCGAATCAGACCGAGTACACTCTAGCGAATAATCTTTGCTACTATGTGGAACCATGTATTTTTTTTTTCTTTTATAGACTACGAAATGTATTGGATGACATCTTTAAGTTTTGAACATTAAAACTAATCATCATTCGGCTGTGACTCATCGTACTAAACGAAGAAAGACTGATCTAAAAGATTGTTCTATTCCCCAAATAAAGTTTGAACCCTTGACCTTTGATTAAAAGAGAAATATATTGAATCATCTATACTAAATCCTTTACGTTGGAACCATACAGCTTTATATATATATATATGTCGGATGATTATAAGACTGAAAATGTTGAATTGGTCTGTAAGATTTTGTTTTCTTTTTAATGGGCCCTCCAGAATATCATTCTTTCATTTTTGTTTTTGTCCTTTAATTTCCATCCACAAACATGATTGAGATCTTTGCTCTTTTCCGACACAAAGGAGATATTTCTTCATTCGAATTTATATCCCATCAAAAGAAAAAGTCTACGTCATTAGAGGATAACGTGTTCATATATTTGGGCTTAGATTTTTTACTGGGCCGTTATTGGGCTTACTCAAAATATATTTTGGGGGGTAAACCACGTTGACCAGCGAATCTGATATTTGACCGATATAAAGCTGGTGGGGCCATCTATAATTGTAGGGCCCATCTGCTTTGGAATTAATTTTCCGTAGCCTCGTGTGACCGGAGTCTTCGTGTGTCACTCTCCTACTCGTCAAAAGGTCCTATTGACTTACATATGGTATATATATATTATTTTGAGGACCAACTACTAGCTTCATATAATCATGGCAGCAAATTTACTTTACGTATTTAAGAGGAAGACTTGCGATCCAATTTGTAAACGTTTGGTGAAAAATTTAACTCATAAACGATTGAAAACAGTCTCGCGTATCAGTTTGTCAAAAGCCCATTCACATTACAACATGAGAGAAAAAGAGGTCCACATTATATATATATATATATATATATATATATATTGACTAATGAAATTATGTTTTTTTTTTTTCTTTTTTAATATAATTTTAAAATCGAAGGATTATTTTTTTAGTATTGAGTTAAATATGGTTCACAAAATGTAATAAAAGATTTTAACAATATAATACACCACAAAAATACAACTCCCTCCGTTTTAATATAAATATAACTTTATAGATTATTTTTTATTTCAAAATAATTGTCATTTTATATTTTCTAAATGATTTTTAATAAAAATTTCAATTTTATCATTAACTACAAATATTAAATTTCAATAAAATATTAATGTGGATATGATTTAATAAAAGTATATATATAGTTTTTTTTACAAATTATAGAAAAACTTAAAAGGATATTTATAGTTAGAATTAGACTACTTTTCAACTTTTTCGGGACACCAACATTATAAAAAAAAATCCATGGAATTTCATGTCATTTCAAAACCTAATTATTACTGATTTTAACTTCGAATACCAATCACATACGGAAACCTTAATAAGACAACCAACATAATACATCTCCCAATACCATAGAATCCAACAAGACTTTTCCAACGTTCCATTACCCATAAATAATTTACACGTTTTTTGCTGAACCCAACAAAATCAGCCGAAAGGAAAAAGAGAGAGAAAGGAAGCCATGTTTTCGCCTTCAAAGCCCACTTTCTCTTCCTTCTTCTTCTTCTTCCTCCAAACCCTAATCTCTGCATCTCAAGACCTTAGCTTCACCTTCGATGGCTTCCGCTCATCATCACCCACCAACCTAACCCTAGACGGAATCACAGCCATCACACCAAGTCGTCTCCTTCGCTTAACCAACACCACCAGGCAGCGAACCGGTCACGCCTTCTATACCAAACCGGTCCGGTTCAAAACCTCTCGAAACGGCACCGTTTCTTCCTTCTCCACCACCTTTGTGTTCGCCATCGTCTCAGAGGTCCCAACCTTCGGCCATGGCATGGCCTTCGTCGTCGCGCCACAACCCTCTCTCCCGACAGCTCTCCCGAGCCATTTTCTCGGTCTTTTCAACGACCAGAACAACGGCAACGACACCAACCATGTCTTCGCGGTCGAGCTTGACACGATTCAGAGCAACGAGTTCGGAGACATCAACGATAACCACGTCGGAATCGACCTCAACGGTTTGAGATCGGAGAAAGCCGAACCGGCCGGTTATTGGGATAATACCGGCCGGTTCGTGAATCTGACTCTTCTCAGCCGTAATCCCATGCAGATGTGGATTGATTATGACGGAGCCACCAAACAGATGAACGTAACCATGGCTCCGATCTTCGTGAACAAACCCAAGAAACCACTTCTGTCTCTGATCAAGGATCTTTCTCCGGTTCTTTTGGAGAACATGTACGTGGGTTTCTCGTCTTCGACTGGTTCAGTCTACACAGAGAATTACGTTCTTGGCTGGAGCTTCCGGATGAACGGAGATTCGCCGCCATTGACGCTGTCGAAGCTCCCGGAGCTTCCTCGGATCGGACCGGAGAATACCAACGAGTTTTTAAGAGTCGGGTTACCGTTGATTTCCCTGTTCTTGCTGTTCTTGCTCGTCTTTGCCGCGATTTACATCGTGAAGAGGAAGAAGAAGTTCGCTGAAGAGCACGACGGGTGGGAACTGGAATTCGGAACGAACAGGTTCAAGTTCAAGGATTTGTACTACGCGACAAAAGGGTTTAAAGAGTCTGAACTCCTCGGAAAAGGCGGTTTCGGGAAGGTATACAGAGGGATTATGCCGAAAACGAATCTGGAAATCGCGGTGAAGAGAGTATCGCACGATTCAAAGCAAGGGATGAGAGAATTCGTGGCCGAGATCGTAAGTATCGGTCGTATGAGCCACAGAAACTTAGTCCCTCTCTTGGGGTATTGCCGCAGAAAAGGAGAGCTTCTTCTGGTTTACGATTACATGCCTAATGGAAGCTTAGACAGATACTTACACAACAACCCGTACGAAACCCTAGACTGGAAACAGAGGTTCAAGGTCATCAATGGCGTCGCTTCTGGTTTGTTCTACCTCCATGAAGGATGGGAGCAAATGGTCGTACACCGTGACGTGAAAGCCAGTAACGTTCTGCTGGACGGAGATCTCAACGCAAGATTAGGCGATTTCGGGTTGGCCCGTCTGTACAATCACGGGTCGGATCCTCACACGAGCCGGATCGTGGGAACGTTAGGGTACGTAGCTCCGGAACATGCACGTTCGGGTAAAGCCACTACGGCTACTGACGTTTTCGCTTTCGGGGTTTTCCTCCTCGAAGTTGCGTGCGGGAAACGGCCGATCGAGTTCACGGCCGGAACGGACGAGACATCGCTGTTGGTGGATCGAGTTTTCGGGTTCTGGTCCAGAGGAAATATATCCGATTCGAGAGATCCGAATCTTGGATCTGATTATGATCAGAGAGAGGTGGAACTCGTTCTGAAACTAGGGTTGCTGTGTTCTCATCATGATCCTAGGATCAGACCGAGCATGAGACGTGTTCTTCAGTATCTGCAAGAAGATATCGAGTTTCCGAATCTTTCGCCGTCGGATTTGTCGGAAAATGGATTGATGTTCGCAGGAAACGAAGATAAGTTTAGGGATCTTGCGATTCATTTTTCATCTTCCACGTTTAGTGCCTTCACGGGTCCCTCCTCCGTTACCAATTCTCTGCTTTCCTCGGGGAGGTGACTATAAAGAACATTTTCAAAGTTACGGGGTGTATTTATAATTTTCTGAAAGTATTTGGGCTTCATTGAAATTTTTGTTAAACCTTTCTTTGTAGGTTGTCTCATTCATCAAAATCTTTTTCTTGACTAATTCTGCCGTGAGAGGGGAGGAAAGAGATTTCGAGTCCGGAAACTATAGAATGAATGTGTGTGTGTGTGTGTGTGTGTGTGTGTATATATATATATATTATGATTTAATTTTGTTGAAACTGCACTATCAAACTCATATATCATTTCATTATTTCGAAGACAAAAGAAGAAAACTCTGGACCGGTTGTTACTGATATTTTTCCTCTGTAGCAAAAAACAAAAAATCTAACTACTTCATCCCTTATGATCGGTTGTATTATCTTGTTTATATAGATGCCAAGAACAAAAATTGAATAAAACGAAATAGATATAAATGTTTTTCAAAATGTTCATCTTGATGTCATATATGTACAAACACATTAATAATTAATAAAGAAACAATCATATATTAAAAAGGAACATCTTTTCCGTCACCACTAAACATGAACCATTCAAGAATCCAAAATCTTTAGAATAATCAAATTGGTATTTGAAAATTTTAGATTTAAAAAATTAAAATTCTACAAGCTTTTGTAGTAATGCAACCAAACCATCAAAGACATCAACTGCCGTAATTCGCATCAACAAAAATCCGGGTCAATACAAAAACTGAATGATCATAGTTTCACTAAACCCGAACATAACCGAACCCCTACCAGCAAACCGCCCCGTAAAGTTTGGCCCAAAGGCAATCCGCAAGCTGTGCTTCATCGACATCTGACGCTGATTTGCCTTTAGGTAACATTGCCGTGATTTCTCGGATTCTCCCCTCGAGAAGCTCTTTTATATCCAACACTCCCCCGAGTCTTTTGAGGTTTTCATTGTCAGATCCATCACGGGCGATCTCATTCAGGCCTCTGAGGGCGAATTCCCGGATTTCCGTGTCTTCGTTAGAGACAAGCTGGATCATTATCCGAGCGAGATGGATCGCTATCCAAGGGAACCCGAATTCCCCGACGATGTTGCGGCCTGAGTTGCTCTCCCGGAGAATAGTCCAATTGAAGCCTAGGGCTCTTCTGAAAAAACACGCACACATCAATTTCCGAATGTAATAAGAGACCTTAACTCGATAATTAAGGATGTTATGTCTGAACATGTAATGTTCGATAAGATTATCTTAAATGAATTTACAATTGCAATTCGAAACCCTGAGAGATCTTATAGTCTCGTAAGGCGGCATAACCATTTGCAAGACGGGAAGCCAATATTTCGGGTTCGTTATGACGGACGAGAGCTGCAAAAGAAAAACAAACATAGTTAAAATGTTTGATGAGGACATCAACGGCTAAAATATTTGGAGATGGAAACAGGAAATAATCAAAGAGCTTGGAAACGAAGGTGCAGTTCAAAGATTCAAGTTTTGAAGGTTCAACAATGACAAGATCAAGATGTACAATGAGACGATTCTCAGTTATTTTCGGTCCAAGAAATGACATTCTTCGAGATGGATCAAATCATCATCGAATATTATCTCATTTTACAATGGGGCATGAAGCTTCTTGGCACCAAGCTGTAGACCAAACATTTTCAGTTTCAAGTATCCAGCGACAAGATCACGTCCCAAGAAACTTCATGCCGAGATATTCTCGATATTTTCGGACCCAGAAATGACATTCTTCAAGATGGATCAAATCATCATCAAGTAGAGCCATTTTCAATTTCTACCTAATTCAAGCCCCCAAAAAAACCATTTTCATCTCAGCTATTAAAAAAGATTTTCGAATCACGTTCCTTTCCGCGGCTTTTGGTGATTTCACCGCCTATTTTGGGTCAGGAATCGTATCAATATCGGTTCTTGCAATCACTAGAACTAGATTGATAAAACAGAGCAACACTTACAGGACAATGCCCCGATGGATTTCATCTCAGCTATTATGTCAGGCTTAACTATATATCTGGCAAAGAAGATCTCGAATCCATTTGTTTCCATGACAAAACTTCGAGCCAGCGGACTATTCTGGATGATCGCCGTCACGAAATCAGCTGCTTTTGTCCGAATTCCTGCCAAAATACAAACAAAATAAAGAGAGCATGATCAGTGATTGAATACACAAACTCTCTACCGAATCAGAAAACAACAAAGATTCCGTACGAGTGAAGTCTTCAAAGGTAAGCATTCGAGTCTCGATGTCATGGTCAGGCGTCTTCGTGATTTGTGATGCCTCTCTCATGCGGGAGATTTCATCATTCATATTCCCTTGCATGGCTTCTATGAACCATCTCCGATCTTCTTCGCTAGTACCAGACACAATCCAAACAAAAAAAAAACAATCACATTTTTGAAATAATGATCTATCAGATTCACATATAGCCAAAACCAAAGACGTAAAAGGGGTTCGATCAACTAGACTTGGAACAAAACTAGGGTTTCTTCTCCAGAATCACTTTCTGAAATCAAACACTCGTCGAGGAATCCTTGGATGTAGCGAAAAGACACTGATAAAAAACCTCAGATACCTCCAACGGTGAGAAGGGCTCGCACCATCGGAAAGGGAGAGACGCCAATCGAGAAACGCTTCCCAGTTCGGTCCATCCTTCGCCATTTTCGCTTCTTCGAAGAAACCCACGACGCGAAACTCCGAAAAGATCTCAACTTTAAGCCAGAACTTAAGAGAATCCTCTCTCTCTCTTCATCCGCAGGAGGAGAAAAATATATGGGAGGGAACACGTCAGAAGTTGAAAAGACGCATTTACCAAAAAAAAAAAAAAGTTGAAACGACGGCGTACCAAAGTTTGATTATATTTGGGCCATATTCAACAATAAGCCCAATAAATATTTAAATGTATTTGGATCTATTGAGCCTACAGTTTAGGCCCAATTATAAGAGTATCGATAAGCTGACGTATATGCTCATGTGTCAATTGTCAAGATCCCAACAGTTAATAGAGTCATGAAAGAAAATTCTAAAATCTTAACAAAAGCAACAATAATCTATAATTTAAGATTTAATGGCTTGATAAAATTTATTGGATAACATGTGTATATCTATCTATGAATATTACTTCTACTGGAAATTTAAATTTTAAATAATATTTGTATATCTATCTATAAATATTATAAGATTTATTGTTCCAGAAAAAGTTACGTAATCTCTTCGTTTCTAAATAAATGACTTTTTAGATTTTTAAAAAAAATTTAAAATCATTTATATCTTTATCAAATCATATTTTGTATTAATATTTTATTGAAATTAAATATATCTAATTAAAATAAAGTTCTATATTTTTTAAAAATAATCTAAAAAATTTAAAATGATATTTATTTAATAACAAAATATATTTTTTAAAACGTCATTTATTTAGAAATAGAAAGAAGTATATAATATAATATAGACTACAATATTATGATAATTGCGATGAAATTGGTGAAAGCGCGTTAACTACACGCTTCAGAGGAAAGCGCGTTAACCGGCGTTGACGTCGCGCTCCTCCTAATAACTCTTTAAATTGTCGCCAATTTCACACTTTCATTTTCAACAGCGGCCGATTTTTAGGGTTTCTTTTTTCAGTATTTGGTTCTCTCCCCTACGAAATTCTTTGGAAAGATTTTCCATTTGAGGCTCGATTTAAGGTTTTTGTCGCGGGGAATCATAGGGTTTTTGTTAGTTTTGAGTTATGGATTCAATCAGATCGTCATATTGGTGTTACAGATGCGATCGGTTCATTAGGATCCGGGTTCGAGAACAAGATTCGATCCTTTGCCCCGATTGCGGGGGTGGATTCGTCGAAGAAACCGAAACACCCCTTGACCACGGTTTCCCGTCGACGGTGGTCAATGACTCGAGCCCGGGTCTGGCGAGTCCGGGACCGAGTCCCAGTCCGAGATTCCAGCGGGCTCGTAGAATTGGAGCGGATCGATCTCCCTTCAACCCTGTAATAGTGCTACGTGGACCCCCCACCGACTCCGGTGTCGGCAACAATGGAACCTCCGGAGGCTACGAGCTTTACTACGATGACGGGACCGGGTCGAGTCTCCGGTCATTACCTGCGAGCATGTCGGAGTTCCTGATGGGTTCGGGATTCGAACGCCTCCTTGACCAGTTGATACAACTGGAGGTGAACGGGGTTGAGAGATTGGAGCAAGCACCAGCTTCGAAGGTCGCGATCGAGTCTATGCCGGTGATTAAGATCGTAGAAAGCCATGTCTCGGAGGAAACATGCTGTGCTGTCTGCAAAGAGCCTTTCGAGGTAGATACCGAGGCGCGTGAGATGCCCTGTAAGCATATCTACCACTCTGATTGCATACTGCCTTGGCTTTCCCTTAAAAACTCTTGCCCTATCTGTCGACACGAATTGCCGACCGACGCAAATGCCAGTAGCAATAGTCAAAGTTCTACCGAAACTGATGGGGTTAGAGATGGGGGTGAGACTGTAGGTTTGACAATATGGAGACTTCCTGGTGGTGGTTTTGCTGTTGGGAGGTTTAATGGCGGAATGAGAGGAGGTGAGAGGGAGTTTCCTGTTGTTTTCACTGAAATGGATGGTGGGTTCAACGCCCCGGGTGCCCCGAGGAGGTTTTTCTTCGAGCCAATTGAGGGACGTTCCCGAGAGAGGGGTCGGTTAAGGCGTGCTTTTCGAGGGTTTATCTCATTCTTTGGTAGATTAAGAAGGGGTTCTAGTTCATCAGCCGCTAGTTAATCCGGTTTAACCAGAAGAAGTCGGTCCATTTCGGTGTGTTCATCAGATCATCATGGACATGGATGCGGAATGAAGAGTGGAATTGGAATGTGGATGGTTATATACATGGATTGTATCGTGCTTTACTTTATATGCTCCTATACAGTCTACATTTTCGCTGAAAACTGAAATCCGAGTCACTGCTAGAGAATGGAAGCTTGTAAAATGGTATTGATTCAGCTCTGCAAATAACAAGGGGGCAATGAAGATGTGAAGGTATTTTGGGTATAGACTCTCTACCAAATGAAAAGTTTTTGTTTCATGATGCCTTTTTTGATAATGAGGAATGTATGAATATGGTGTTTGCTTGAATGGAATGCCCCCTTGCTTTGGTGGGCATTGAGAGGGTAGTTTTGTACACAAGTCATCATGTAAATTTGTAAATCGTATCGATTAGAATCCGAATTCGTTCTTTAGGAGAGTCTTGGTTCGGTCCATTTCATAAGGTCTACTCTTGTTAGAGTCGGGTTGCGAGCTTTTCTATGAATCCATAGTCGTCTCAAACATTTTCGGGACACCATTTTGTTCTCTTTCTGCATTGGCTTTGAAGGCCTCATTCACTCGTGAGTAATTTACGGATCCTGGTTATACTCTTTGCCTCGAGATTTCGAGTTCTCGTCTAGTGTGGGCCTGTGGGGATGAGTACAGGTATGTTGTAGGCAAAAAGCCGATTTTCGTGTTTGAATTCAGGTTTTGGTCGACGAGTAACCAATGTTGTGTGGGTTCTCGAGCTAGAGAGAGCCGAGGGCGATGAGGGTTAGAATTAAGCTGGCGAAGGGGCGATTTTAAGGGTTAGTCGCTCGATTTGGAGGGGAAATTATAGAAGGGAGGCGATGAGGCGAGGTCCGTTGCTCATCCATCGCCACACCTCGCCGTTTGTAGGGCTTTCACCGGTCGCCTTTCGCTCTTAGGATTTCGGATAAGCCTTTTCTCGTCTCTTGCCGCCCCTCGGCCTAGTCGAGCGAGACTTACCCCATCACGACCTCGACCCTTCTTTTTTCGCGTTCTCGTAATCAGAAAGATTCAACAGAAAAACCCGGACAACCAATTTGAACACACCATATAATAATACATCACAATTGCTCGTTTTTACAATTGTATTTTTTATATTCAACTCATTTTTAAAGTTCTTATCTTGTATGTAACGTTATTTCTCATTTTATGGATAAACTTTCAACAATAATTAAAATAATTTCTCGCGTTATCCTGTAAGTTACTCGGTAATTTGCCCATAATTTGGTATGGGACAAAAGCAGAGAGCGCCCGTGAATTAGAGATGGGTGCAACGAATCTCGCGCCAGCTCTCAACCGTTCACGCGCTACATCTCTTTTGGTGGTGTATCTCACGCGCCCAATCGAACGACCGTAGACCAGATCTCGATTATTTTATTAGAGCGTGATATTCACGCATCTCTCGCGCGCGTGATATCCTCTATCTTTGTTATGTATGGTTTTCTTCCCAGGATATACCGGCTCTTCTAAGAAGGGGAGAAACAGTCTCTCCGTGTAAAAATCTTCGAACACTCGAGAGATCTATGCCGGAAAGGGAAGTGGATAACCAGAACCCATCTCAAATTTTCAGGTTTCGATTTCAGGGTTCTTGTCCATTTTCTTATTTTTTGGTTCTTTTTCATATATTATCCATGGGTTTCTCTACTAATTCTTGCTGTTTTTTTTTTGTTGGTCGCTTGATCTATGATCTGTTGTATTTGATTGCTAATCGCTTAATCTCCTGAAGAAAAAAAAACTTTACTTTACTCAGAAATATGCAGCTTTCTTCAGTTTCTGGATTACCAAATAGAAACTGATAGTCCTATGATTTTTGTCTTTTTTTTTTGGAATCAGCAGCATATACACTTGCCTGTACTGTGATGAGTTCCGGTTCCTAGATTTTCTCGTCTGTTCCAGATTTGTTCTAGATCCTTTCATTCCTGATTATATCTATCTATATCTATATCTATATATTTATGTATACATGTGTGTGTGTGTGTGAGATCCATAGAAATCAGAGTTTGCCAAAGTACACACCATTTGATTTCATCTTTCTCTTGACCCATATGTGGAAACAGTTGTTTTGTATTTGATATCAAACCCTTTCATTCTTATACATTTTTCTTGGGTTTGTGTTTTGTTTCAGTTACCTTCTTCTGCCATCGTTTTCTGCAGGTGCCACGTCAATGGCAATGTCTTGAACATGGAAGCCATTGATCTGAGCAAGAAAAGAAAGCTTCAGACTGACCAATTCGATTCATCGCCTCTTCCCAAACATGTCTGTTTCCACGACAAAGGAGAAGCTTCTCTGTCCAAATCCTGCGAGCCATGCTACGACAGTAACAACAGTTCAGACCAGTGTTCTGAAATCGAGTCAGTTAAAGACAGTAACAGCTTCACCATGGCCGAAGCTTCCGCGTCATCTGTGAGCTCGGGTCCGATGGAATGTTCAGACGAGACAAGAAACGAGTCGTCGAGTTCGTCCCTTGGAGAAGAAATGCTTCATCACCATCTAGGGTTCATCTATGGAACCGGAGAATTGGATGGATACAAGGGGAAAGACATTGTAGACATTCTGTATCCTGATGATGAAGTGAAGGATCATAATGCTACTTACGTTCTTTCTTCCGGAAGATGGGCTGTTAACCGAGGTAAACCGGTTTTGTGTCTTAACCGATATCTGCCGAGAAAATTCTGGTTTGATCTCAAACCGGTTTTTATGTGCTGTTTGTGTGCAGATTCTTCTCTGCAAAACACAATGAAGCCCACCATTGATCAAGAATTCGAGCAATACTTCTCCATGCTGATGCTGTGAAAGATAACTAAACCGGATTCCGGTATAAACGTTCATATATGTATGTATATAAAGCTGTACCGGTTATAGTACCGTTTTGTTTCTTGTGAAAACCCTAACGGTGAAACAGCAAGTTTAGTTGGTTTAATAGTAATCCGGTTTATGTTCGGTCGGTTTAGTTTATCTTTATTATCTCTATATATATATATAAATAAATTATGATTCTCCAATATCCCAATCTTTTTCTACGTTTCTCTCTATTTGATTATCAATATCTATTTATGTCGTGGCTGATTAATGAATAATGAAGGTCACGCTCGTATTTCTTTTTATCAGTCAAATAATTGTTACGTACCAAACTCAAATAGAAATTAACATTACCGATTCCGTTGCATGGAGATTGTGTGATGGCAATGAAATTATTGACAGCGTCGTCACTTTCAAGAGACCCAATCATATGTCCCTATTACAGATAGTAGCATTCTGACACGTAACCCATAGTTTATAATTTTCATCCAAATATTACAAATCTCTAATAAAAAAACTCAACTTTTATAAAAAAAAACAATTTGGCTAAAATACTCAATTGTTAGATATCACGAAATTCTATCGACTACAGTTAATTATTCTATTGTAATTTGTCAAAAGTTGGGTTCTTCGGATTCAAGATGAATTTTAGATGCGTTAAAATTTAATATATTTTTTACAAATACTATTAATATTTTATAATTTTTCCGTTTCTCAAGCTTTAACTTTTTTATAAATATGTTACACTTTATTTAGGAAATATACAATTTTTTTAAAAGTTGTTATGTAAAAGGAAAAAATCATCCATATGTAGTTCGAGAGATACGATAAGATGTTTGAAAAATTGTATACTTTCCAAATGGATGTATAAAAGTTTTTACACGGCAAGAAAACTTAAAATTAAGAAATAGAAAAATTACAAAGATTATGATAATATTCATAATTATATAAAATATACGTACATTACTAAAATCTTTTACAGGAAAGTTTGTAAACAATTTCATAAATTATCTAATTAAACATGGAATTGTCGGGGTTTGTAATAAATGGGTCCTCCAAGGTTATAATGTATCCGGCCAATAAAGTTTATTAAAATAAATTAGATAATGAATTTCTGTATATTAATATATATCATAGTCCTATGTAATATATATGAAGTCATTTAGCCGATTTTATGAAGTTATACTATAAATTTCAATTGTTTCAATAGTCAATGTTGCATTTTATTTATAAAAAAGGTCCCGTGTGGTACAAGTCTTCTTATCCTTCAATTATTGAACGAGTTTGCCTAAATATATTTAAAGAAAAAGATGTGAACCAATAATAGAATATAAAGATGTGAACAATAATAGAATATAAAGATGTGACACATCATCGTCTCTTCACCTTTTGATGGTTTACCTTTTGCTTCTCGTTCACCACTTTTCTTTCAGAATGCTGGATACAGCGAATTCAGACAATAAACATATGTATTAACTTGTTTCAACTCTTACCACTGGCAACTACTTCGAGATCCGCAATAAATTTTATAATTTTAATAAAACTTTTTAAATTGGGTATCTAGACAATAATTTGGACTTATTACCCTTAATCATAAGGTTGATTCTAAATCTACGGTCCAACATTGCGTATTAGGTAGAAATATATTCTAATTATAAGGGTTTTGGTGAACTGAGTTTAATGAAAAGTGATGGCTAACAAGTTATATATATAAACGTTATATTATAATATATGTATATTGCGTAGTCAAAAAAATGCACCGTGTCGGTGTTCGAGAAAAAATCAATATCTTGCAACACATTTCCGAGTAAATAAAAAAATTAAACACGTAACTGTACCTTAACAACTATTTTATATATATTAAAATAAAATTTGAAGTGAAATAAAAAAATGGAAACGGCATCGCGTTTTGAGGTGGAAAAGTCGAACACCGCGTCGGGTTTACGCCTATATAAACGCCATTAGCCCCGACTCTTCTCCTTCCCCTTTCCTCGCCATTCTCTTCTTTATCTGCCCTGTTCGGCTTTCTAACTAAATATCCTCATTCCGCGTTTGCGTTTCGAAACGCTCCCCTTCAGTGCGTTTGCGATCAGGTTCGATGATTGATGCTTTGTTTGTTCCTTTCTTTCTTTGTGCGGTTCTTTTCTCTAATTAGAATCCGTAATTTTCGCTTTTTTTCCATTATGAAAAATCTAAGATATATATATATATATATGTGTGTATATGTGTATATACTTTCATATATGTCATTCAACACCAATATAAAAAATTTAAGATCAATTCATTTTTTTTAGAAAATACAGAATTTCTTTTTATTTTAATAAGCTTATAGTCATATAGGCTGTCACAAAACCAAACGTATGGGTTATTATGTAATTATTAATATTTTGAAATATGGAAATATGAATTAGTGGTCGATGACATTTTAGCCAATCAAGCATACAGTAATTGAGCGTAAATCCTTATCCCAAACATATGGGGACTAAGACATATGGGCTTTGTCCTCACCACTAGTGCCGCTTCTTCTCCACTGAAAGTGGCAATCTGAGTCAAGTTTCGGACCTTTTGTTCCTAAAAGAATCTTTGTCTTAAAACTCTAGTGGCTATAATTTCTTCCTTTTGACATCTCACTATAACATTACACATTGCTTTGGCTTTGTGATTATATAAAGGGTTCTTGTTCGAGTGATTCTTTCATCGAAGTCGCCATTGTTCTGGTCTGAAAATGGAGCTTGAGTACAGAAACCGGCCAAAATACGATACCCTTTTGTTCGGTAAGGCTGAATTTTCCGGCGACTTTCTCGTTTTTTTCCGGCGGAATTCTGGAAGAATGTGTGTTCGGTTGATTCTAGGATTTCGATGATAATGTTTTTGCAGATCTTGATGATACCCTTTATCCCCTCAGCTCCGGCATTGCAAGAGAATGTGGACAGAACATCAAAGGTGAGGGCCTTTTTGTTCTTGTGAAAACCGAAACCGGTTTCTTGCTTCACAAGTTATTAGGTCTAGTGACTGGATTCGCCATTTTTGTTCAGATTACATGGTGGAGAAGCTCGGAATTGAGAAGAGTAAGATACCAGAACTGTCCAATTTGCTCTACAAGAACTACGGAACCACCATGGCGGGTCTCCGAGCTATCGGTTACAACTTCGATTACGATGAATACCACAGGTATCTGTCACATATATATATATATATACACACACATGATTTTGGAATCAATTTTAGTCTCTCATCATAGGTTTAATCTCTCTGAAAAAAAAGGTTTCTTTTAGGTTCTGACGTTTATCTCTTTCCTTTTCCATGGCAGCTTCGTCCATGGAAGATTACCATACGAGAACATTAAACCGGACCCGGTTTTGAAGAGTCTTCTACTCAGTCTCCCTCTCCGAAAAGTCGTAAGTATACACAAGAAAAGATTCGTATACACAACAAATCTTGAAATGGGTTCGATTTATAACAATCATTCCGTGTGATACACGCAGATATTCACGAACGCTGATAAGTTGCATGCAGCAAGAGCGCTCGAGAGGCTCGGGTTACAGAACTGTTTCGAAGGAGTCATCTGCTTCGAATCTCTGAACCCTCCTAATGCCAAGAACGTTACAGATTCTCACGACCAGAACAGTAACGAAGTTGAGATCTTTGACATTATCAGACATTTTTCAGATCCAGAACCGAACCTGTCTGCGTTACCGAAGACGCCCATTTTCTGCAAACCATCAGAAACCGCCATGGAAAAGGCTCTGGAGATTGCAAACATCGACCCTCAAAGAACGGTAACCGAAACTTTTCATCGAAAAACGAATCTTTGGGCGCTAGAAATATCAGATTCTGATTATGTTTTGATTCATTTCTGCAGCTGTTCTTCGACGACAGTGTCAGGAACATACAAGCCGGTAAACGTGTCGGTTTACACACTGTTCTTGTAAGCGAAAAATCCCTTCTTGTCTCTGAAACTTTTTTTTTCTGATAACTGTGTTCTAGAGAATTGTCGATGAGATTTTTTTTTTTTTTTTGTGTGAAGGTGGGTACTTCACAGAGAGTGAAAGGAGCAGATTATGCATTGGAGAGCATCCACAACATCAAGGAAGCTTTGCCGGAGCTCTGGGAATCCGCCGTGAAGGCCGGCAAAGTCAGATATTCCGGCAAACTCGCCGTGGAAACTCCGGTGATAGCTTAAGGTCTCCGATTTGAAGAAGCTTTTTGTTCATTTGCAAAAATCTTTTTATCTGTAATCTCTGTCTTGTATATATTTAGTTTCTTCTAATAAAAATATGAGCTCGAGGTTTTAAATAATTTATTTTATGGAAACAAATATCAAGAATAACGAAATTTGATTCGGCCCATTAAGGGCCCAATATAATGGAAATGGGCCTATTAAGAAAATCGTGAGCCTAAACTTGGAAAGGTGAGGTGACGTAGCACAAATCAGGAGACGCGACGTGATGATGTGTCACTGTGTCAGCATCTCCTTTTTTTTTTGTCTTCTCTTCTTCATTATAGTTTTCTTATTAATAATTGTTTTCTTAAAAGTATGGTTACAGTTAATTTATAGTTGCTGCATAGCCATTAGATTGATTGCTACAAGCGGAAATTAAAAAAAAATGAAAATTTTAAATCTTTTTAAAAATCATCATATAAATGGATAATGAGGTCATAAGAAAAAGAGAAAAAAAAAATATAATTATATGATGACTCTTTATATTTGCATTCTTTGTAACTATTTATATAATCACTTGCATTCTATGAGCGAACAATTAACTTAATGCTCATATCTTTTTTTTAAATAAGAAAATATTCATTTTTCTAAGTTCTAACTATAGATTTCTTAAAAGTTATAGTGTAAACAATACTCTATCAAATTAACTTTAAATTTAACAAAAGAAATGGATTGTTACGTGATCATTGAGGACTTGGTACGGACTACAAACCTTTAATCTAATGAAGTTTCAAGCATTTCTTATTTAATTAGAACTGGAAATATATTTAAAAAACGATAGCATAATTTATAAATATATTTTGTGACTAAAATTAAATTTGACAACTCAAAAAATCGAAAAATTATTTCCCGTTGACAATGTGTAATTCAATTTATATATGAAATGCCTTTAAAAACAAAAAAAAAAATATATAAAAGAGGCTTCAATTGTATTCACCGGTCGGACCAAAAGGCATGAGCGGTTAAAACCCGGTCCAGTAGCTCCTGAGGCACCGGTTCACCTCTCCTCTGCCTTGGTGATATCTTCGCCGTGTGAACCAACGTCTTCCATTTATCCTGTGTATATTCATTTTCCCATTTTAAAGATTCTCTTGAAAAAAATAGTAGATTTACTTACATGACTATATCTACATTTAAAAATTAATTAATTAATTAACGACCGACACATCAATTTATTAGAGAAAATGTCTCAAGAAATCTCCATTTTTCCTTAAACCTCAAGGTACCTTTAAGTCAACGTATGTTCGATGATTTGCATCGTCAAATGCGTGAGACTTCACATCTCGCCACCTGAAGAACAAAAAATAGAATAAAAATAATCATCCGAATACATACAAACATGTATATATATATATATATATATATAATTTTATATATGTAGACATGTATGTATATGTTACCTTCCGGTACCGAGCTTCTCGACCGCCTGAACCAAAGATTCCACTTCAGAAACGGTAAACGGTCGTCTGATTCGACGTTGAACCGAAATCGTCTCCGGTCTGCTGATCGGTTTAATACGAACCGGTACTACCGAAACCGCCGTGTTCTCCACGCGCCGGTTTACACTATATTCCCGTAATTAACAACACATTTTCCACGTGAAAGTTCAGATTAAAACGACTCTAGAAAGATTTTTACGGTTTTTAGGGTTTTGATCTCATACCTTCTTCTCGTTTGTAGGGTTTTGGTTGTTGATCCTGGTTTTGGTGGCTCTAACGTGAATCCCACGGAACCGTGATTGTCATCTCGGCGAATTCCTGTCTGAATTAGGGTTTTGGAGTCATCTCCGACGTTTTTTCCTCGGAGAAGGACTCCGACCTTTAGCCCGTCGTTAAGAATCTTCGTCACTGCTTCCATTACCGTCGCCTAGAAACACGAAAAAAGCAAAGATTTTAGGTTTTTGCCACTGTGTATATGTGTGTATATATATGTATGTATCTGTTGGTTAATCACCTTCAGGGTTCCAACCGTGGCTGATACTGGAATGTCGACAAAAAGGTCTGGGATTTTGAAAGATTTGATGTTGAATTTGACTGCGAATGAGAAGGAATCCGATGTAAGAACTGATGCAGAAGCATCGGCTTTAGGGTTATTCGATTGGGGCTTTACCGTTTTTACATGATTCAAATCGATGGTTCTGGTGAAAGAACTTCCTTTTCTTGAATGGATACATCCTCTCCGATTCCTGGTGAGAGTTCGTATTAGACGAAACCCTCTCTTTCGGGTAACTCATCTTCCTTTTCCCATCTGCCAAAAAAAACCGATCGATCAATTCAGACTCAGACAGTTCATCCGAAAGCTTTTTACTTCGAAAGCAAGCAACTTTTACCGATCTTGGACCCGGAAACGCTCTT